CTCTCTACTAGCGTGCTCACCTCACCCCAAATTTTGGTACCATCAGGAAATTTAAACAGGTTGCTTTTCACCCCATCGTTCAAATTGCTGATAAAGAAATAAGAATAGATTTTATGCTCCTAGCAGCAGTGTGCACCTGCTCTGCCATAGCCCCCTGCAACAGCCAGAGGTAGCTTTAGCCTCCCCCTCGGTGCTTTGCCAAGAGACAGCTGTCTTCTGGCAGGGGCTGGGACATTATTCCCTGCCTCTGGGAGCTGCTTGCTTATAGAGCAGGCTCCACCACCAGAGTCTGGGCAGGAACAAAGTCCCCCTGCCCTGGCAGCAGGGAGCTCCCAGCCCCTGCTTTACAGTCATGGGACCCAGGCTGGGAGATCCTTTTCTCCTAGTGCCAGCTGTGCAGTTGTGGGTCCAACACTGGCCCCGTGACTGTGGGGCACGGGCTGGGAGATAAGGATCCCCCAGACCCAGCCCTGCAATTGCAGAGCAGGGGCTGGGAATTCCCTGGTGCCAGGGCAGGGGGACATTGTCTACACCCAGGCTCTGGTGGTGAAGCCTGCCCTGGCAGCTGGCAGCTCCCAGGAGGCAGGGAGCAATCTCCTGCCCCCTGTTGCCTGGCTGACCAGGAGCACATTTGCTCCTGGTCAGGCACTACAACATGTGAGCTACTGCACAGTAAGTAATCTTGAGTAAATTTGCTACTTGGATTTGCAGGTAGCAACGTTACTCACTATTAGAGCAAATTACTGCACAGTAAGCATCTGCACTTGTAGATGTAGATGCTTACTAATCAGTAAAGCATCTCATGTAGATATGCCCAGTAAGTGCAAGAAGGCAGTAACTTGTGCTCAGCTATTATTGCCCGTGACCTCATTTTAAGAGCAGCTAAGAATAACTGGAGCACAAAGATACTTAAGCCATAAATACTCGTCTCATTTGTGTTCCTGGTGAGTCTCCACCCAACATGGTGGATGGTATAGGACTAACTAGGAAATTCTACAATGGCTGATTCACCCAGATTTCATTATACCATTGTCCAGTACTGGGTCATCACCTCCTGTAATGGATCTCTTTCATTAAATGGATTTCTTACAAGCATGTTACCCAAAAAGCTTATCATTGGGCATAAAACTTATCAAGTTTTGTGCCTGAATCATAGAAAATGAGGATTGGAAGGGACCTCAGGAGTTCATCTAGTCTGACCCCCTGCTCAAAGCAGAACTATCCCCCACTATATCATCACAGCCAAGCCTTTGTCTACCTGGGTCTTGAAAACCTCTAAGGATGGAAATTCCACAACTCTCTGGGTAATCAGCTCCCATGCTTCACTACCCTCCTAGAAAGATTTTCCTTATATCCAACCTAAATTTCCCTTGCTGCAGTTTGAGGCCATTGCACTTTGTTCTGTCATCTGCCATACAGGAGCCAGAGCCTTGGTTATTATACTGCAATTTCCAATGAAAAACAAGACAAAAGAGAGGAATGCATGATGAAAAAAGAAAGGGAGAAAAGGAAAAGAAGGTGAGAAAAGACAGTAAAGAGAAGGAAAATAGGGAAGACTGGTGCATCGCCATTAGATGCCTTACTGCACAGTAGAGTAGTTTACTGCACAGTAAGTGTGTGCATCTACATATGCACATGCTTACTCTGCAGTAAACTTCACTAATTGCAAATAAATTTGCTACCTGCAAATGCAAGTAGCAAATTTTCTTGTGATTAGTAACAGTGCAGTAGCACTCATGTAGTCGTCTGACTGGGAGCAAATCTGATCCCGGTCACCTGGCCAGCAGGTGGTGAGAGATTGCTCCCTCCCTCCGGGAGCTGCATACTGCTGGGGCGGGCTCCACCACTGAAGCCCGGGTGGGGACCATGTCCCCCTGCCCCAGCAGCAGGGAGCTTCAGGCTCCCCGCTCTGAGATCACAATGGGGAAGTGGGGTCTGAGAGAGCCTTATCTCCCACTGGGTGCTCTGCAACCAGAGGGCCAGCACTGGGAGATCCTTATCTCTTAATGCCAACCCCTGGTTATGGAGCTGGCACTGGGAGCTCTCCGCTGGTATGGAATGGGGATCCTGTTTTCTGCCTTGCTCTGTAATTGCATGTAATCCCTGCCCAGCTGAGGACCACTGCTAGTTGTCCCACTGGCAGGTCTTTCCAAGTTTCCTACCCCCAACTAGGGAACTGGGGCCAGGAGTTCCCTGCTGCCAGGGCAGGGGAACATTGTCTTTGCCCTGCCAGTGGCAGCCCCCCAGGGACAGGGAGCAATGTCTCAGCCTCAACCAGAGACAGCCATCTCCTGGGCCGGCGCTCCCTGCTAGCCCTTGCTAACATGCAGGGGGAGCCTAGAGTTCCTCCCATGGTGACAGGGAGCCATTGCAGGGCCTCAGGAACAGGAGCAGTTTGCTGCCATTTAGCAGCAGATCTGCTTCCGCTTCCCTGCATGTGTGGGTACCTGCCTGGGAGTGTTTACACCACTGTCAAGTAAACTACTCCTGGATCTAATGCACATGTAGACACACCCAATGGGAACAAGAGTTGCTCTGAAAGCCTTAATATTTTTCAACATGGGTAATTTTTATATCATAGGTTGAGAAACATTATGAATTGATTTTGGGAATTTGCCTGTTCCCCTGTGTTCTGCTGCAGTGTATTGGGCACATCTATTTGTAAAAAAGGCATTATTGATCTTTTATGTTACTGTTTTAAAGCAAGACTGTGTATTCAACTAATCTTCCTTCCCTGTTCTCCAAAGGTAACTTGTCTGTTGGAAGGTGGGTCCATGGCTCATGAAGATTTCTGTGGACATGCTGGTAAACTGAACCCAGGAGATTTACAGGTATGGGAAAATGGGCAGAGAAGTGTAGGTGACATTTTAATCCTTCTACCTTTCTTCTTTTAAATTTGTGATTATCCTGCAATTCAGAAAAACAAAACAAAACACAACTTTTTTGTTGTTGTTATGTTAAACATTTTAACTGGCTGCTAAACTCAGCCACAACACTGTACTTTCCCCCCCCACACACACATTTAACATGTTTACATTCCAGATAAATTCCTGGCATGCTATGTTTTACTGGGAACTTTTATATTTGAGTTATTTAAAACTTATCTACATATAAACAGTGCTTTCTTGTGTTGTTCAAATAGATTAACAAACAAGTGCTATTTTTTCAACTCAGCATTTCAACATTTAAAAACAAACAGATAAGCAACATGATTGTTATTTATGTAATCTGTGTTTGATTCAGACAGAAGTTTCAACTACGTTGACTAGTCCTGGGTAAAAACTTTTTCCTTCACTCCAGGTTTTTTTAATTCAATGGATGTGTTGTGACCCTCTGTATTCTGTTCCTTCTACTTCTTCTGTCTTAGTGGATGACAGCGGGGAGGGGTATTCTGCACACAGAGATGCCCTGCTCAGAGCAGCCAGCGCATGGCCTGCAACTCTGGGTCAATTTGAGAAGTTCAGAGAAAATGGTGGAACCCCAATACCAAGAACTGAAAAATGAAGAGATATCAAAGCCCACCAAGAATGGTGTGACTGTATCTGTCATTTCAGGAGAGGCACTGGGTATAAAGGTAAACTCTTCAAGGTTATTGGCATAGCTGGAGTCTACATACTTTTTATGTATTATCTATGTATCAGACATTTGCAGACAAGTTTAAACATCAACTGTTTTATCAGTCCACTTAGGTTTTAAAAGGAGAGATCCACTACATTTTATAAACATTCTTTGAAGGTTAAGGGTATGTGGTAATTGTTCCGTGTTGTCATTTCTAATTGGTAAGGTATGTTTCTTTTAAATGTGGTATATTATTACAAGGTGTTCCCTTATATATTGCACTATAAATCATGTATGTGACAGAATTCTCTACCAAACCCTCTGTGTTAGAGACCACATGCCTTAGCCTGGGGAGGAATATGGTTTAGCACCTGTTAAAATGGCTTTATGTACGATGTGTTGTGCCACCTTTACCCACAAATAGTCCATTTAAATCTCTGTGATTACTCACCTGAACAAAACTACTCGCTGCAAGGGTTGTTGAATCAGACCCATCCGTATATATTCAGAGTTAAATAATATCTTTTCATTTGGCTGGAAGTGTTTGTCTGGCTATAAGCAGGGATCAGTCCTGCTAGAAAAGGGTTAAAATGCATCCTGCAGACCCACTGGGCATAACTGCTGGAGAGAGGGTCTAGGCAGTGAGCTTAGCAGTCTGGAGGGAGGAAACATAGGATGAGCAAGGTCAGAGGGCATGGTTTGAACTGAACTTTATGCTGCTTCTGTGCCCTTCCTGCTAATAAGTCACTCTTTCCTGGTGGTTTTGCATTTGGAATCCAGATAGCATGCACACTGTTTTTCATAAAAGGCTGAGACAGCCATCCCCCTGTCCCGCAGGTGCAGGAGTACAGGATAGAGCAGGAGAAGTTCATCACTTCAGTCAGTTCACCCTGTGTGAAGTGAGGCAGGCTTCCAGTGCTAAGATGTACAAGAGGTGTGGTGAGAAGGCCACAGTGTGGCTGTGGCAACACTGGGGAGCCCTGAGGTCTGATTCTGTTCTCTTTTGTACTTTATGTAGTCATTTATATCTGTAAGAAGGGAGATACAAAACATGTGCAACTAGGATGGCAGTATTTCATACCTACTTTGCACACAAGTCAATGATTACCATGGGTACCAGGTGTTGGAGACTTGGGTCCAGCGTGAGTGAGTCTAGCTGGGGCCATGACTACATCTATTCATAGTGCTGCAGTATAGCAAATTCCACTTCTGCACACAGTGTTCTTGCAGCCTTGCTTTTGCATGCAGGAGATTTTATGCCTTTAGAAGTTGTTATGCTTAAGGCCTCTGCTTGTTTATTGGTGCAGTAGGTAAAGGAAATTCCCATATTCCCTGAACCAACTCAAGTGCAGCTCTATTCAAACTTATCTTTTATAATGTATGATGGCAAAAAAAAAATAACTGCATCAAGAAGGCCATATTTCCATTGCCTTGCCTCTTATGTGATCATTTTAAACCTGGGATAAATTCATATAATGCTTTTCTGAGAGTGGCAGCATTTTACACCTGTGCAGATATATTAGCATGGTACCACAAGTTGCAGAAAAATCAGTCCTGGAAAGTATTCATAGGTCTTTTTCACACACTTGATACTTCACTACTTTATATGCAACAAAGATTCATGTTACTTTTTAATTCCAATTAGATTTGTAGATTTTGAAACCAGAAATTCCTTTTGACGAATCTGCCAAGCACGATTTTTCCTTAGTGTATGCTTGTAATTCCTATTAATGGAAATAAAATACATCACAACAAAAGCTCTGTAATTAAGCTATATTAAAAAAACCCAGAGAAGAGCAAAAAGCCCATCACAATGATCAGATAAGAAATGGCATCAGAGCACCTATTAACTGGCTGGTATTATGCGGACAGAGTCTAATATTAGGATCGTGACATGTCTATTCCCTAAGCTTTATTTTTAAGTTGACAGTATACCTTATGGAAGGAATGCCAAGTAACCGACAAAATACTTCAATGTGCTGTTTTAACTTCCACTGTGAAATCATATATTTAAACAAAATAGTAATTCAGTGTTGGTAGCTATTGCAAATGAAAAGGGTTTTGGACTTTGAGTAAGTGGGTTGCTTCTTTATTCTCATTTATAAATTTTATATTTAATACAAGTCATTTTAATTGACTGCTTTATATATTGGTTACTTACTGATCTAGTAGCACATGAAAAATGAAGCCAGTATCCTCATATATAATGTTTTTTGGGAAGAGAGGACATGCCTTTGTGGTCTATAGGAATGTGGCTTGTCAAGGAAGACTGAGCTTTTGTCTTTGCAGTGAACCGCCATGATCTTTTAATCAGAGAAGGTTACGAAGGAAAAACAAACTGCACAGCTTGCTAATCTGGTTCCCGTTGCCCACACATGGAGCTAGTGAGCCCATCCCCTCCCTTTCTAAGTTGAACTTTGGCCTCTCCATTCTGCCTCCAGATTCTACTTCTTTTTTTTATGACATTGACAGTTTCCATATAGCAATACAACCACAGAAAAGTTGTCTCCTTTCAGAAGTAATTACATATTTTCTTTATACATCCAAGGGGAGTTCAGTCTCGATGCCAGTTCAAACTGCAGCTCTCACGAGATGGTTGACAAAAGTTCAATTAGCTGTTGGATTTGGTGCATCTTTGCTGCGGGAGGCACAAAAACATGAACTAAATCTCTGGGCTGCTTCCCTCCTTACCACTGCATCAAGTTTGAATTTACTCTCCTTTCCCATAGGGCTCTACATGACTGCCCACACCTAATTATTCAGGCTTCAGTGCCAAGAGTGGAACACGGCCTGTAGACTGTAAATTTCGTAGGGCCCTTTACTACCTTCAGTACTTGACAGTAAGCATTTGGTACACTCCGGCACTAAGTATTTTTAAGTGGAGACAAACAGTCTTCACATATAACAGTTTGCTTTGAACATCTCTTTTAGAAAGTCAGTACTTTAATCTTACAAAAGATATATAGGCTTCTAATAGCAGTGTGTATAAGTGGTTGTTTCCTAGCTAAGGAAGTATGAAGTAACAGGTTCCATCTGTAGCTTCAGACATTAAAAATGAAAAGAAGGGGCGGGGGGAAATAAATACCTTCAGGAATGCTTAGCAAGGCATAAACATTTTTGTTGCATTTTTTCTTGTCATTTTTGTTTATTTTATAATAGGTTCTGTGCCTATAAAACGTGATCTGTCATGCTTGGAGCGTTAAGCAGAAGCAAGTTAATTTTTCTGGCATACAATTATAATTTGGCACCAGCCGTTCTTCTCTTCTTTTCTCAGAAGGCTGCTCCTAGGCCACAGGAAATGTCCATGCAGCAACATAATGTGGACTTTCTAAAGCAAGGATCTGCAATCCATGGCCAGCTGATTCTGATCCATGGAGCCTTTGGATCCAGCCTGCTGAGACATGGCTTCAGCAGCACTTGGTGGCAAAGGGCTTTGTTTGCAGCACAGCTGGGTGGTGGGGGCCTGGGCAGAGGGTCCCCTTTGCCTGCACCACACCGCAGCCAGGCAGTGGAGAGAAGCAGTGGCAATGTCCAGGTCCTAGTACCAGCCTGCCTCACTCTGAGCTGGTTCATTCCAGCCTGCTGCCAGAAAACATTGCTGACCCCCGTTCTGTAGACTTTAATCAGTGATCATCAGTGGTATTGTAAGTGAAAGAATGGGCTCACAGGGAGTGGCTTTGACTTTGCAAAAGATGCAGAAGGTTACCTAAAGGGCATTCACTGTAAACACCTTATAGGTTTGTCTTCTATAAAGATATTTATTATATGATGTTTCTTATTTTGAGAGGTTGGCACACCCCCAAAGAATGCCTGTACTTTAACATCCACATTCCCCTTTGAAATCCACATTCCCCTTTTCAGTAAACATGAAAAGAAGCAACTTTATTATTCAAAATTGTGAAAAACGCATATCCCAGTTGTTCAAAATCTTAGCATCACTGATCTTGCCTAAGGAAGCTAATGACAACCTAAGATAGAACTTCTAACTGAAGGGGGTGTCTCTTTTTCTCATTCAATATGTAAGTGTTGCCTTTTTACACTGGGAATGACATACCAAACTACAGGGCTGGCATCCTTCAATGCAAATATATTTAATTCATTTTTATAAATAAATGACTGTGAAGATAAACACATATCTGGCACTCTACGCCCCTCCCTGGTGCTACATAAAATTTACATTAGGACCATGCAACTGAAAAGCAGAAGATAGAACAGATATATGTAAATTAGAGAACACTGCATCAGAGATGTAGTACAAAAACAGATGATGATTTACTTTCAGGTAGAAATGTTTGTGAGCTTGTCTTATAAAAATAACCCATTTTTCAGATCTGGACTTTGAGGTAGGGCATTTGAAGAGCTCTGACTGGATTCCTTGAGGAGACTGTAGGCAGACAAGGTTCTTTGAGTGAATCTGGTATCTTTTATTAGACCAACTTAAATAGTTGGAATTTTTTTTAGCAAGCTTTTGGGTTTAAAAACCCTTCCTTAGGCTGAGGAGACTGTGACAGATCACACTCCATTTTTGAGATACCAAAGGATGATCCTATTCCACTGTTCAAGTCTCTGAAAAAATGTCAATGTACCTATTCTTATAACATGTCATTATCTTAGCCTTAAGACTAAATGACAAAAAACAATGAACAGGAGGAAGGTCCATCTACCTTTTGTGTTAACTGTTTTTCAGGGACTGGAACAGAGTAAAATAGGTTCATACATAGACACTTAATAGGCAAAATAAAATCTGATCCATTGTATCATCAGAGGCCAGTTCGCTAGGTAAAGGGAACATGGGTACTTTGATGTCTTAAGTGTAATTTGATAATTGATAAAGACTCTCTTAATCAGGGAAAGACTTAACAAAAGTGTTTTTCAGTTGGAGCTGGATTTCAGACATGGCTGTCCAGCAGAGCAGGACCATCACTGTGCATGTAACCACATCTTTAAGACACATTTTATATGAACCAGCCACAGTGCTTGAACTCACCACATATTTGAAATTTGCCTTCATGGAAG